GACACGGGATTGAATCCGTCAGGGAGCACAAGTTCCCTCAAGACTACAGGTGATTAATTTTACTAATTATGTGTTTTAATGAGTGAATAAATCACCTGTGACCAAAGCAATAATATAATCTTTAATAACTGAACTAACTTTATACAGAACTTTTTAAAAAAACTTCAAAAAAATCACTGCTAATACAGTTCTACTAAAAGTTTAGATTGTTTCGTTTCCCGAAAAATAAACACAATCGATATTTTAGTTTTACAAACCCTTTTATGTACAAAAATAGTCTACAACTATTTCTAAGAGAAAACTAAGTTAAACGTATTATGCCAAACAAATATCACGTTTCATTATGATCACGTTGTGATAAACGACAAAATTTAAACATTTTTAAACATATTAATTACTTCATTACTCACGCCTGTTACTTCTAATGGAGTATAGGCCGTCGACCAACATTCTCCCACACACTCTGTCCTGAGCCTTCTTTTCTAGGTCTATCCAATTCTTGTTCATTTTTCTCATATCTGTCTTCATTAATCGGCGTAATGGGTTCTTTGGTCATCCTCTTTCCCTTTGACCTTCAGGATACCAAGTGAAGGCTTGTCTTGTGACGCAGTTGGGTGCTTTCCTCAACGTGTGTCCCATCCACTTCCAACGCTTCTTCCTGATTTATCCCTCCTCTGAAATCTGGTTTGTTTTCGCCCACAGAAGGTTGTTGCTGATAGTGTCTGGCCAACGGATCCGAAGTATTTTGCGTAGACAACTGTAAACAAACACTTGTATCTTCTGGGTGATGGCTTTCGTAGTTGTCCAAGTTTCCGCTGCATACAGTAGAACTATCTTGACATTTGTATTGAAAATTCTGACTTTGTTGTGGACTTGTGGACAGTTGTTTTGAGTTCCAGATTTTCTTCAGTTGTAAATATGCTGTTCTCGTTTTGCCGATCCGTGCCTTCACATCTGCATCAGATCGACCCTGTTCATCAATGATACTGCCCAAATATGCAGAGGTTTTTACATCATCCAAATCCTCTCCGTCAATTGTGATCGGATTGTTGCATGCTGTGTTGTATCGGAGAAATTTGCTTTTCCCTTGGTGTATATTGAGACCTATTGCTGCTGAGTCTGCTGCTACACTGGTCGTCTTCTCCTGCATTTGTTGTTGCATATGCGATAGAAGAGCCAGATCATTTGTGAAGTCCAGACCATCCAACTGCATCCTAGCTGTCTACATTAATTTGTCTATGTATGAGGTTAACTTTATTTTGATGTGATTTGAACGATGGAATTGTCATCTATGATTCTCAGCTGAACCAAAGAAGATCTAAACTATTCAAAACGAGAGCTTAGTAATTCTGAAGAATTGCTAAATCTAAAAATCTGATCAACGATAGCTGTACATTTCATATTTAATAAACATTATATTCAGGTTGATAAAATCCAAATTTGTGTTTACAATAAAGTAGCGTCTCATCATTGTTATTACTCTATGGCCTTAAATTTTAAATTTGTGATTCACTTATTTTTGTTTTCATATGATTGATTTCTCATTTGGAAATATTCCCCTCTAATTGTTTGTCATCATACCATGATTTTATTGATAATCGTTTGTGATAACACTGAATTTCATTTAACCTCTCTAACATCCTCAATTATTGTGTTAAAAACATTATGTTGGGGGGATGGACCCGAGGAACTTATATTCCGGATATCAGGTTCGGATCTTCAAAGAACGGGAGGTGTTGGGGTATTCAGAAAATGCCCCAGAAATTATCTAATGCTATTCCTGAATGAGAAGTAGTGTCATTTCCCCATTGGTCAACATTCTTCCAACGTGTCATCTCCTTATTGGTCAATATTTATTTGTGTCATTTCCTGAAGGTTAAATCTTGTACAAATGTTATTTTCTATTTTGTGGTACGATGTAGTCTGTTTGATTGCTATATAAACAGAGTATGTTTGAAATATAACGATTCATATCTCCGAGGCTGAGACTTGTGTTCTGGACTCAGTTGGCTGGGCTAGACAGGGAAGCAGGACCAATCAGAGCTCTAGGCTGCTCGCACGTATTTTATGCGTCACTGTTTCGATCGATAATAGGCTGCTCTCTAATAGGCGGATCACACGTTATAACACATTATGACCGATTTTGTTAACTAATTAATTTTAAACGACATTTATTTATATATGCAACCTTTTATTATTATTTACTTGATATTGTTTTACTTGTATCTTCCCATTGATGTTTATGACTGCAATTCATAAGTCTCTTGTTGGCATATGTGTATCCTGTGCGGATTGCCTCGATATTGCCTTAATTTACAAGCATTATAAGCAAAGACGGATAGTGGCTAGAATTGGAATCCAGGATGCCCGTTTCGTCCTATTTAGAACTCGTCAGCTGGATGTACCTGCATCTCAGAGTTGATGTTCACTCTGGGACTCGAACCCAATACTGTCCGCTTCAAACACCATCACTTTATCCACTTAGCTACTGAGTCCTGATTCAAGTAATACAATATCAAGTGAATTAGACTTCACCCCATTGCACAAGCAAGTGACTATCAGGACTCAGTAGCTAAGTGGATAACGTGATGGCGTTTGAAGCGGACGGTATTGAGTTCGAGTCCCAGAGTGAACATCAACTCTGAGATGCAGGTACATCCAGCTGACTAGTCCCAAATAGGACGAAACGTGCGCCCTGGATTCCACTGCTAGGCGCTATCCAGCTTTTATTATTATTGTTATTTACACTAATTAATTTAAAATTATAATCCATATATTACGTCACTATATTTGTTTTTTGTTCATATGTCATCGTAAATGCAATACTTTGCATTCTATAAACATACGATTGTACAACTTGTTAATGAATTCATTGAAAAAGGATTCCTTTGTTGAATTTCGTATTTTTAATGCTTAAATGGGAATTGTATGTCCAAAATTCGAACTATCCATATTTTCTAACCATTTAAATCAATTTAATCGCTTCACTATTTAAACGTGATTTAGTTGGTTTAAAATTAATATTTATGTGAAGAAACTATTAACAGAATAGAAAAAAGAAATGTTCACATCTCTGTTAAATATAGGTCAATACGAGCATGGATAACATAGGAATAGCATTTAAGGAGAGGTTATAGGTACAACTTGGCAATGATTCTTAAATAACCCATTGCTCCTATAGATATAGTATCAAATAATGTTTCTCACATAGTGAAATCCTTCAAGCTAATAAACCAGTTACAACATGCTTGATAGAATTCGGTGAGCATTATGAAATTGACACTAAAGCACTGATTATCACCGGGTGATCATTCAATATATCTGAATATATCGATGAATTTCTTCATCTTAAAAGAAACATGATGTCTATTAGGTCCCAATTACAACCATAAATATTTCATTAATAACTGTTAATATTTTCAAACAGAAGAGTTTCAGAATGCTTAAAATCATTAATTTTATTATCATTTGTAATTAATTGAAACAAAAATATGCCCTTTACATTTTAAATATCCATCAACATAATGAAAAAGGTTCCGAACCAGAATTTAACCCCCAAATGCCCTGGTACGGTCGAGAGTGGGGAAAGTCATCTATCCCTCTCGAAATGCTCTTACATGGCCACGTGCACACAACCACTACCAGGGAAGTACTACTCCCTGCCTTCTCTTGACATTACTATTGTTTACGAAATTGAAAGGACGAAAAGCGAATATCCAGTGCTTTAATTAAGTTGGTGGATACAAAGAATTCACCTAGGCGAGTTGGAAAACCATGATTTTTAACCAATGGTACACATGGGTTCCAGGATCCTAAGAGAACAAACGAAGTATAAACCAATTATTGGTCACTGGCTACCATGGGATTGCATCTCATTATGTTGCTTCACTACCTAGTGGAACAGACCATTAGGTCAAAAACATCAGATGTGGCCTCCTAAGAGAATCACCTACCTCAGTTTGAGCATAACAAATAAGAAACGGTATATCCTACATAAATATTTTAATTAATCATTTATATTTTTGATTAAAACAAAAATAATAGTTGCTAACACCATTGAAATCATTAAATATTTTGAAAGTAACACAATATACATACTTCATATGCAAATAAATAAATAAATAAAAGAATATTGAATGAAACTAGGTTTAATATCTAAAATTGACCAAAGATAATAAATATGTGAGGGGGGGTTTAAAATTTAATCAAATGTTTGTCTGTTGTTATATGTATTAAATTATGAATATTTTAGAGGATAGAATAGAATATAAAATAGAATCATTAAAAAGGAAATAAAATATTAATATTATAATTAAATACTAAGATTGAATTAACTATCTAAGTATCAAACAAATGAGAAGTAAGAAATTATAATTAATTTCATGGGAGAAATATTACGTAATAGATAGTTTTTTTTAGTTGACAAAATCTTAATATCAGAAGGGGTTTTGTGGAGATTGTAGTAATTTCAATGGTTAAGATAATGATTCAGTTTAGGATAGACCACCATGGAAAACCTGGAAGCACTGAACAGCCGTTTCGTTTTATTGTGGGACTCCTCAGCAATGCCTATCAACGACCTCGCCCCCACCCCACGTGAGATTCAAACACACGACCTACTGGTTTCGCACACGAGCACTTAACCACTAGACCACTGAGCCGGTCGGCATCCAACGGTGTTAATGTCTAAATTCAAATAATACACGAAATCCACTCGACACATCCACTATTGTCTTCAGTGAGTTACTATCTCACAACAGATCTGGTTGTACTCCACTTATCACTACTTCTCACTAGAACTCCAAGATATACCTCTTAAATTCAGTCACTAGTGAGTACATGTTGATTAATATGAGAAGGGGTTTTGTGGAGATTGTAGTAATTTCAATGGTTAAGATCTTGCAGGGGGGCGAGGTGGTGGATGTGCACTGCTGAGGAGTCCCACAACAGGACGAAACGGCCTTTCAGTGCTTCCAGGTTTTCCATGGTGGTCTAACTTCAACTGACTCATGATCTTAACCATTCAATAATAAAATTGATAACTTAATCTTTATGGGTGTGTATTTCATTTAAAATAACTGTTCATCATCTATTGTTTATTCATTACCTTGAAAGATTTTAAAACATTAAAATCATGTAAACCTTCAGATAAATAGTGAGTAGTTACACTATTGTGAAATGTTCTTATTGATGAAGATACTAACTCCTTTTTTTGATCTTTCTATTTATGTGCCGTGAAACGTACATGTAATATAATAGACATAATTAAGTGTAGTATAAGGCGGGAATCCGTACATGGTTAAATGCCCCGATGAGCGGTGTATTTGATACAGTGAGATCAGTATGGTCGTTGAGTATCTTTGTAATTCAATGCCGTATAATTAACTTATTTGCCGATTTTCGATGGTCAGGGTTATTCGGACCAACAATCATTTACAGTGTGCACTTATTTAATAGTTTATTTTGGTTTTATCATAAACTCACATGAGTCTTAACATCAGACTGAACTGTGAAAACACAGATAATATGTAATCTAATTGTTTAACTCATAATGTTAGTTATTTATCAGCTTATATACTCTAAAATCTAACTTATACGCTTGCTCTTGGACAATTGTAGAAATATGTCAATATGTGTATCGTTTTAAAGATATGTAATCCAGTACTCTGTATTTCTAAATCATATTCGAATAGTAGCATGGAAATGTTCACATTACTCTTAACAAGTGATACTATGATAAACACAACGTGAAAATTTGTCAGTCAAATTAAGATAAACAAGTCATCAATCAGATGGCTTAAGTCTTTTCATAGATTGAATTAAAAATAATTCATGAAATGAATCGATCAAACTAATTCCTAGTAATCGATCTCAGTAAAGGAGCTTAACTCTTAATTTCACTTGATATACTTTCACTTGTATCTTCCTATTGTTATGTAGAACTGCAATTGATCAGTCTGATGTTGGCATATGTGTATCCTGTTCGGATTGCCTCGATAAAGCCTTAAGTCGCAAGCTTATTAAACAAGGATGGATAGTGGCTAGAAGTGGAATTCAGAATACGCGTTTCATCCTATTTAGGACTCATCAGCTGGATGTACCTGCGTCTGAGAGTTGATGTTCACTCTGGGACTCGAACCCTGTATCCAGTGGCTATCAAAACTCAGTAGCTTAGTGGATAATGTGATATTGTTTGACGCGAACGATACTAGGTTCGAGTCCCGGAGCGAACATCAACTCTAGAATTCAGGTACATTCCGCTGATGAGTCTTAAATACAAAGAAACAAGCGTCCTGAATTCCAATACTAGCCACTATCCATCTTCGCTTAACTGTTAACTATTAATAAAACTACTTAAAGAACTATAGTCATTTTTATATCCAGTTAATGCATTAAATTTTTATGAAAAAAAAACCCACAGTTTAAAATTGAATATGTTCTTCACGAAAAAAAAAACAAACAAACAAACCAGCACACAATAAACACTAGATAACCAACAACAATGAATAATTCATTACCAGTAACAACAATATGCATAGAAATTAAAGAATCTTATGATGATAATATGTCTTTTATAATCTTAATAATACAGTAATGTTTTATAGAAATGTGAAATAAAAACGTTTATTATATTCTTTTTTTTTATTTTTTAATATCCAGAAATACTTTTGGTCATAAATGAATAGTTTTTTTTTTTTGTTTTGTTTTAGGTAATCGATAATTTATCAATGTAATTCTCAACTTGTATTATGTGATTTATCGATCAATCGGTTTATTATTATTATTATTATTATTATTATTTGAAGAATCTGATTTAACATAATTTCGTTTTAAAACTGTTTTCCATTTTTCTTGTACATTATGTAAAGAGAAAATATCTTTTATATTTGATTTTTGTTGTCTACATAATAATAAACAACATAAATGTTGACGGAATGATGGTAAAAATGTGAAAAATGTAGGAAATTCCATAGCAGCATTTATTGATTTAATAGAACTAAATAATTTTGATAGATGTTTTAATTTATTTGTATATTTTGGATAAATAGTATTATAATTACTATAATCTGAATGTTGTCTTAATAATACAACAATAATTAATGGTATATTTAATATGAAAAATATTGTTGTCATAGTTAAATGTCCAGCTATACGACGTAGTTCATTTGTATTACGATCATTATGTTGACACATAATATAACGTTCTTTAAATATTTTACGTAATTTAACAATTATAATAATAGTAGTTATAAATGCTATTAATGTTGGTATAATTGTTGCACCAATATTTGATAAATATAAATTATATTGTACACTAAATTTTAATGGATCAACAAATTGACAAATTGTATAATTATGTTGATTTATTATAAGACCAGAATTAATAGCTGTTGGTAAATATAATATTATTCCAATTATATAAATACATATAATACCAAAACAAGCTATATTAAGATAATGATCACCACGAAATTTAATTGGATGAAATACAGTAAGTATACGATCAATACTAAATAATACTAAAACATTTGTTGATATTAATCCGGATGTTTCTGGAATGTATGAAAAAAATTTACATAAAATTAATGAATATGTATCTAATTTAATAATAATATTACATTTTGTTAACCATGTTAAACCTCTACCAAGAAAATCATCTAAAAATGCATTAAATATTAATTCCATAATATGTGCAATTGTAATACCAATTATATATGAATTAAATCGACATGGTGATTTTTTTTGCATAATAATAAATATAATAATTACTAAAATATTTCCACTTGTACCAAATATTACAATTAATGGTGTTATATATGCACGAAATCGATACATCATAATACCTTCATAAGTGAAATCAGTTTCAGCATTAAAACATGTTAAATTATATATCATACTATATGATTATATATAAAAAAAAATTAGATTAATTCAATAATGATAATATATGATCAATAAAGCTTTTTAGATCATTCATAATATTTCAATATACTAGTATTATTATTATTATTATTATTATTATTCCATATGTTTCTTAAACATTACAAATCAGAATAATTAACGAAATCATCAGTACATGACAATAAATAAGCATTGAACACAAAATTTCCATTTTCATTGGTTAATTCATTTTTATAGTATGAAACGTTTTATATGATATTTTATCCTATAAAATTGAAGGAACACAATTTCTACAAATTGTAAGTGTCCTAATTGGAAAAGGATATGCACATTTAAAAACAAAACAAAAAAAGTAATAGATAATCATACTTAAGAGAATGGTTATTGTCAAAACTAAAGATCAGTGTTCTTTTTTTGTTTTTGCTTTCTTTTCCAAGACTTGTTGGAAAGATTGAACTGTATCTCAATATGGATGTTCATATTAAGACTGGAAAGTAGAGTCTTGCGAATGAAACATTGCTTAATCTATACTACCTTTATAGTCACTAATTCGGATAGGAAGACTTAAATAGAAATATATCAGGCTGATAATATTCAACTAGTAAAAGTGACGTTCATTATAGATTATATCATTATCCATGATATAAAAAAGTAACAACATTTAACTGTAAGAAAAACTTGAGGTAATCGACTTAAGAAGTACACATGCTAATAAATACCAGTCAGTTACAATCCTTAAGATCGATAGCTACAAATGCAGACATTTACATCCAGTCAAATTTAACTACAATTCTTGATTGAGAATTTGGTCATTGACTATGGTACTATTGTGTTTTTGATTACCAACATAGGAAAAAACAAAAACGAGAGTTTATTTGACAATTGTGTCTTCTTCATATGTGTTGATAAATCTCGGATCCATGTTATTACAACATTATTATCCACCATTGTGAACTGGTTCTTCATTGCCTGATGAAGCAAATTCACGAAGGATCAGGAAGCGACAGAAACATCTCAGCTTCAAAAGGATCAACAAACTATCATGTAATGGGTTTTCATTTGAAATAGGTTAGTAAAATAAGCCAAAATTTTATTGACGTTTATATATTACTTTGTAAGATAGGTTTGTTACGAAATGATGTCAGCTGATGCATGATTGACAACTGATACGTGTTGAAGTGGAACACTTGAAGTCGTAGTGTTAATCTAGAACTAGTGTAGTTGACTTCGTCGGACTTGAAACAGTGACATGTAAATGGGTTAAAATGACTATCGCATTATATCAAACACCGACTGTGAACTATTTGATTTTGACTTAAATCACCAAACTCATCAGAATTGATGTGACTGCTGAATGTCTTAGAGACGATCGAGTATGAGCTCATAGAACAAACCTGGATCCGTAAATCGATGAGGTTATATTTCGGTTGAATTGTGTGAAAATATTCATTACTCAGTGAACATTCTGAACACGGATTTGATTTTTGCATGGTAGTGATTTTTTTAATTCTACTTAGCGCATTTTAATCCGAATGCAACTCTAGTTGAACGTTCGGAGAGTGGAGAGTCTTCATAACAGGTGTTGAAAGAATTCACTCACTTTCTAATGATGACTTCTTATTTTCTCTTGTACTTATCAACCTGAACATTGCATATTAGAAATCAAACTTTCTGTAGTATTTGGAGATATGCGTCAAACACCAGTTACGTACAACTGTGAGAAAATATGAGTAGTATATGTTTAAAGTGTTGATTCATGAGCTTAGTTTGAAGTAAATTAATGTGTAGAGATATTGAGCATCACACTAATTTAAATGAAAGTTCTCAATGTTGTCAAAGTTGTGTGGTCTTACAACCAATGAATGTTTTGAAAATGTTTGTCCACCGAAAGATCTTCATAGGCACCTACATTTGAAAACTATTCCAATCTGTGATGTTCATTGATGCATCATCAAAATTGAGAATAAATTCCTAGAATATGATATGGATAATGTGCATTTGTCAATGTTTCATCCGTAACGCATTCGATGCCTTGACTGAATTGACTTCAGTGGACTGGCAATTTCAACCTAGTTTTTACACGTCAAATACACAAGCCACCTCCCTTGTATTCAAAAGTGTGATTTAATTGGTTATATGTGTTTTGATCTGTATACGAGAAACAGTAGACTGAGAGTTATCTAACATATGTCTAAACCAAGTACCACTTCATATCAATTCCTATGTATTGGTTATGATTTTGATCTTCCTATTGATATTTAAGACTGTAACTGATTAGTCTCAAGTAGCTCATTTAAGTGATAAATTTAGCCAATTCACACCTCTCATACATTCTTTATCCTATAAGGAGTATATCTAAAGTAAATTTGACTAGCATTTTAAGAAAATGTTTTACACAGTCATGTGTTATATATCTCTACAGTCTCTGACATATGTTTCAATAGAATATTACACTCACTCACTCACTCATTCACTCGCTTACTCACGCACGCAATCACCCTCTCCCTCTCTATGTATGCACAAATATACATGTATTTCATAATGTGTTCTTTGAATAAAACAACACTGTCACACAAACATTTCTTCACGAATGTTGATTGTTATATTTTTTCCCATTTTCAGATTAACAGTGAATTGTGTATGTGTGAAATTCTAGTTACCCTGATGCACTTTTATTACCTAAAATATCATAATCAGTATTTTATTTATTTCACTAAATTATCTCCCATTTAGCAAATAAACCTCTAAATAAAGGAAACATTCAATTCCACTCTTGATGTTCGGATTGATTGTCAAAATTAATGAACGCAGATAAAACTTACTAGAAATTTGATAGAACTTAAGTTATCTGAAATTAAAGTACAAATTTTGTATTCGTGATAGATGAATATTGACCTAATTAATAAAATGTAATTTATCATCATAAGCGATAATTTGCTTCATGTTAGGTGCAAAATAATCATTTGTGTAGATTCCGTACAAGATTCAGGAGGTCGTTTGTGAAATGTAAAATTCCAGTGAATTGTAACTAGGATTTCTGTTATGTTTAAGAAAGATGACTAAGTGATGGTTAGTTCTGATGTTTGAATCTTGTTCTTCGAAGAATTAAATGAAATACTGCTAGATATGGTGAAGATTTGTAGCTCAAGTGGATAATTTTGATGGAGTTTTGTTCTCTTAGCTGGTAGAAGTTTGTGCTGATGATGTCGTCCAGAAGAATGATGAAAGCTCCACAACTAAATCATCCAGCATTGAGAACAAAACTCCATCAAAAGCTGCTAGATTCAACAGAATCCGATATCTGTTATCCGTTACATCTTCAAAAATTAATTAAACTTTGTAGATACACCAACATATCAGTCGTCATGGCTAATATGGTAATGGACATTGTCTGAAGCCATATTTACTCTAACAAGACTTCGTCGTACAAGTTCAAAAATCACCAAACATCATAGTGATCAATGAGATTCCTGATCAAACGGTTGGTTGTGGGTTATGTTTACAATATTATTATGCCATTGAAAATAGTTTATATTGTTCTTTGCACGTTTCATATACCCGTTTCATGATGTCACTGTAGTTGCTGACGTTTTACCGTACCATAGTTTTCTTGTATATTTAGTAGTCTAAATGTTGAAGGCCGTCTTCATCAAATAAATCCATTGTTTTATGTATAAATGCCATAGCCTATCAATTGTAACTTTTCGGTTGCAACAAGAAGTCAACCTATTTTATTTGGATTTGTTCTTTAGTTGACTTCAATAGCTGTCGAGCTGTTTGTATGTAAATCATAAGTAAACACAATCTATGACTGGAAAGACATGATATACTAACATTTAGACTATTGAGCGTGGAAATTCCGAGAATCCCATACAATTTTTTAGAAATCTGTAATATAGGTTAATCATCAGCCAGACGTTACACAAATGCAGATGCAATTTATCAACTCATGTGGTAATGGTCATCGAATATAAAGGTCAGAGGTTAAGTGAATAAAAACAACTAATAAGATGTAAGTGGCACATGAAGATGGTCAAACTCATGAAAGCAACTAGTCGGAAACATATTCATGATGACGGATTGACATAATACTTGTGGAGTAATGAAAATGCTAACTTCAACTTTAAGTAAGACCTAATGATTTCCCGAACAATGAAAGCATTGAGATCAAACTTTTCAGCTTAGAGAATGCAACACTTTATAACATCTCGATTGCCATCTTTATCGATATTATTTTAACAGGGTAGGAATTCGTTAGTGATATTGAAATCTGTCATTTCTGTATAGTGAAATATTTGAAAGCATACACGAAAAACAGTGCACAGCTGTTTATCCAATATAGAAGAAGAATACGTTATCATCTATCTCCGGAACCTCCTACGTAAACAGGGCTAAAGTTTCTTCCAAACAGCCATTAATCATTAAATACAGCCATTACAAATTCATATGAATCTGCTAGTGGTTTACTCTACCCAAAGAATTGGATTTAAAGTATAAATATGGTAACAGTTGAGGCTTAAACTGAAAAATGATTTAAAATGTTTCTTTGATAGATTCACAAAATGTTTTCTTTAACAAATAGTTGATTAACTCCATTGCCAAATTCGGTCATCAGTTTTTAAATAACAATAAGATACACATACATACATCTCTTCATATTTTACAATGTGAATGCACTAAACCATATTCAATATGATTTGATCAGACAGTTGTTGTGTACATAGTTGTTTTTTGACCTTGTTTATACTAAGATAAGGCTAAAAGCGGAACGTTTAAGTTATTTCATATTAATCGTTTAAATGTTTACAACTATGATTTTCATTATTAATACTGTTCAGACACTCATGAAACTATTCGTTTATAACTGAAATAAAGTTGTTATTGGGAATAAATACTTGCTTACATTATGTTTAATCATGATGCTAGTTTTATAGGGAAGGTTGTTGAACATAAAAGAAATATTGGATATTGACTTTAATTAATTTTAAAACTCTTCTATAAATCGACTTTTCAAAATCAAAATTCGATTGTATACGTCATTTATTCATCAAGTGAATATACCATAAATTACATCCTGTTCCTTTAGTGAATTCGAATGATTACAACATGATACTCGGCTTAAAACAATCAAAAAGTTAATACTTCACTTAGTAGTTTCTTTGGTAATTCTCCATCTTATTTTCTGTTACTATCTGTTTACAAATCTTATAAAATAAAAATCAAACATCTTTACTTTAATTTGTTAATTCTAGTAATACAATAAGTGATGAATTTTTAACTGTTTTAAACTATGTTTACATCCTTTAAAATAAACAAGGACGTTGATGTACCTATCTATGTTCTATAGAATGGTAGCATTTGGTAAACATTAGAAACCAGTACATTAATTCGACTACTGTTTGTTAAGATTACCATATTTTTTTTTTATTGATATTAGTTATTCTTCAATAATACATAAATTACATTATGGGTTGTGAACAGCTGAAAGTTATAAACCCTATTGTTATATCTATCTATATTATAGGAACTCATGATTTTCTTTCAATGGTTAAGATTTTAACTTATGGGTACTTTTATTACTCATCATTTTATTCTTAGATTGAATCCAAACAATACTGTATTTGGTATATTCTTTTTATTAACTATATTAATAATCACCTTCCTGAATATTACTTATTAATGAATTAATTATATTATTGGTAAGAAATCGGTTCATTTTCATGATGGTCATATTGCAAATCATTTAGATATTAAAATGTACAACATAATTTAGAATATTAAACGTAAATATTATCTTTGTTCATTGATTTATCTTTTATATTTTAATGATATTTCAGAAGTAATATACTTGTAATAAGAATTATTTCATAGAAAAATTAATATCATAAATGAATATTTATATCGGATGGGTTTTTGTGGAGACTGTAATAATTTCAGTGGTTAAGATCATGAGTCAGTTGAAGCTAGAACATCATGGAAAACCTGGAAGCACTGGAAGGCCGTTTCGTTCTATTGTGGGACTCCTCAGCAGCGCGCATCCACGACTTTGCCCCCACCCCGTGAGATTCGAACACACGACCTACTGGTTTCGCACGCGAGCACTCACCCACTAGACCGTTGAGCCGGTCGGCATCCAACGGTGTCAATGTCTAACTTCAACTAAACCACGAAATCAACACGACGCATCTACCATTGTCTTCAGTGAGTTACTATCTCACAACAGACCTGGTTGAACTCCACTAGAACTCCAGGAAATACATCTTGAATCCAGTCACTAGCGAGCATATGTTGGTTAATGTCAGAAGGGATTTTGTGGATATTACAGC